CACCATCTAAATTAATATTATTTACTGTATAGTGTAATGCTTATAAACACATGAAAATGTATTTAAATTAATCAACTATTAATTATTCATTCTCATTTTCTTGTATGGCTTTTAAAATTTAAATTAAAAATATCTGAAACTCGATAAGAAATAATAATAAAAATTACTATTATTAAAATTTTCACGGTTTTTTAAATTTGTCAGTCATTGAACCTAATTTTGAACCAGCTTCCATTGCCGTTACAATTCCTGATCCTCCAGGTACAAATAGACTGATTCCAGTTTTTATAAGTTCTTTAGTTGTGTCACTTTGTAACGCATCTTTCGCCATTTGTGTATAACCTGGTGCATCATCCGCATTAGTATCTTCTTTTTTGTCATTATTGTTATTATCTTTGCCATTAAAGTAGTCATTCATGTTAGGAAACCCTGAAAATAGACCACTTGGAAACATTCCAGACTCTTTATCATTTTTATTACTCTTATCTTTTGTATCATCCGCTTTAGTACCTTTGCCATTAAAGTAGTTATGCATGTTAGGAAACTTTGAAAATCGACCACTTGGAAGCATTCCAGAATATTTTTTATTTTGCTTACTCCTATTTGCTTTTTCATTTTCTGCATTATCTTTTGCATCACCTTTTGTATCATCTTTTGCATCATCTTTTGCACCATCTTTTGTATCATCTTTTGCATCATCTTTTTCATCAACTTTTTCATTATCTGGTTTACCATCTTTTTCATCAACGTTTTCATTATCTGGTTTACCATCTTTTTCATCAACTTTTTCATTATCTGGTTTACCATCTTTTTCATCATTTTCTTCATCAACTTTTTCATTATCTGGTTTACCATCTTTTTCATCAACTTTGTCATCATCTGCTTCGCCATTGTTTTCATCATCTTCTTCATTATCATCTACATCTTCATCTAAGTTGTCTTCGTCACCTGTATTACCGGAATGGCCGAACAGAGAGTTGATTAAACCAGCCGGTGACAATTTACTCAAGTAATATTTCCATCGAGGTATGGCTTTATAACCTCTATTATTCTTTCCTTTTTTTCTTTGAAGATCGTTTTTATAATATGTGCCTGCTTGTCCTCTTACCACGTATGCATGTTTCGAATATGAGTAGTAAACCCTACTCGGTAAAATTCCATAATTATTAAATCTTATGAGTTCAGAAGGTGTAAGTATTTGGCTTAAGGTTGAAACATGGTATCCCTGAAAATAGAGAAAATAATAAAATATAGATCATTTACTCTGCAATAATTGTTGTATTGAATAATAATAATAATAATAAAAAATAATAACTATGAATTTATAGTATTAAATAATATCAAATTATATAACAAATGAAAGGAATAAGAATCAAATCAAATCAAAAATCATACCAATCGTTGACTTCAGTTGTAGATGGTTGTGGTAAGATAATTCTCAAAACTATTTGTGATATAACCTCTTATTTCTTAACAATAGTTGATTTTATTCTATATTATTACAATATCTATAATTTGAATCAAACGTAATGTTTAATTATCTATCTAATATTAAATTATGTAAATATCTATATAACATGCAGAAGTTCATCAGCCAGACCTTATATTACCACCATAATTTTCACAGCAATATGTCACTATCAGAATTCATGGTCTGCGTGCCATTAGGGTGGGTGTTTGAAACTCTCTCCACCGTTATTGTTTTTTCATCTAAGTTATTAACTGTTCTTAATTTGATAAAATAAGGAAATTTACCTCTGTAGGACTTTTGAATTATAATTTATGATTAAAAAAATTGTATTAATAAAATTTTTTCAGGTATTTAAAAAAATAATATAAATATAATATTAGGTAATTGCTTAACAAAACCGACATGTAAATTTGTTATTGTTTTTGTATTAAATTAATATTAAAAGGACGGTTAATGTCCAAATTTTATAATATTAGATTTATGTTTATATAAATTATTAATGTGAAGTCGTAACATAATAAAAACTATTATATACCTAATGCTATAGAAAACTTTATAGTAATACGTATCTTACCATTACATAAAGTTATATAGACATAATTTAATATAAATGTACGATTATGATCAAAAAAGAGTAAGATAAAAATAATATTATTAAATGTATTATATTTTATGATCGTTTACATTATTTAAAAATTGAATTTCATTTTGATTAATTAAAATACTTGGCGTTGTTGATAAATTGAATGTACCTATTAAATATTCATTATATCATTACTTAAAAGTTATAACCCCTGTTCAAAAATTTGATGATGAAATTAAGTCGATTGTATTTTGTTATTTACTTTATTTTGTAATAATTGTTTAAAATATTTTGTTACTTTTTTATTTTTTTTTTTTTGCTGATCGTATGTGGTTTTAAAAAGATTTTTTAAATTCAATAAGTCTTGGTGTTTTTAGACTGTTGATTGAAAATTGACAATTAGTTACTATTAATACCTATTATATGGTGTGACATTACAGAATTGTAAGCAGATAGAAAATTCAAAATTGGTTATTAAGTTATTTAAAAAATGTTCACTATTTTATTTTGGAAAACTTGGTGTTAGCATTATCTAATCAATCAACTACTATTTTGTGAGTATCTTCTAATTTCAAGTTTGTGTATGAATTGGAAAAATATTCTTTAGTAATATTTCTAAAAAAAAAAACAAACATAAAATGCATTAAAAACTAGTGAAATATTAGAGCATTATAATTTATAACCGTTATTTAATCTGTTAAAGTAGATTCTCTTAATTTGATTTCATTATTTTTTTCTTTTATTCCATGTGGATTTTATGAGAGTAAGTGATAAGAGTAAGGTTTTCACCTCAAATTATATTTTTTAAATTTATTTCACCCATAAAATATATTATTGATTAATAAATTGTACATATCTATACGAAAAAATTTTAACTATTTGTTAATTATTAGTATATTATAAATTTTTTTATAAACACGAGTTACCGCGTATAATGTATTTAATATTTAAATAATCAAAATCTTACATAGAAAATAATTATTTGATCATTTGGTGAAAATGTTAAGAACTTACAGTACCTAGGTAATTAGTTTTCAAGTACCAAACAAAATCGTTTTTGTTGAAAATTGGATTTGTTAAAAAAATTCTATTTATTCGATTATAAAAAAAAAGTATCAGAAACTACTTTAATTTATGGAAAATTAATGCATTTTTATTTTCTAAAAGTTGATAAATGTCAGAAAAAAAAATATACAAATTATTATAAAATAATTAAAAAAATCTTTTCACTTGGGATCTAAAAATATTAAATTCTTACCATAGGTATTGTTATTATTTAATATTTTAATTCTAAAAAAGTACTTATTTGAAATTGGGTTATGAACATTATGCATATGCGTTCTCGTTAATGGGTACTCTGGTAATTTACAAAATAAGGTACTAGTATTTTCTTTGATGGGATTGGTCAGCCAATTATACGGCATCACACAATAAACATGGGATTTGGAGAATACAACCACAATCCAAAACGTATATAGGTAACTAAAGAAATGAAATTTAAAATAAATGTGTAACAACACATCTAGAAAAGACATACAGGATAGGTTATATATCGATATGTGCCTAGTGATCTATGTGGCACAATACAGTTATTACTTTAAAAACTAATAACGTAAATTATGTATAAAATATATTTTTAAATACGTTAGTGTTTTCTGAAACGATGAATATCTTATATCTAATGAATCACTGCATATTATATCTCATAATGTAATATAGATAAAATTAGGTATTTCAAAATTGAAAGATTTATGAATTTTATTTATAATTATGATATAGTTAAATTTTAAATTATGCATGTTTAATATTTGCCTGCATACTTACAAAGTTATTATATAATTTACTATCAGAGGTCTATATATTCTTTACTAAATATGATTTTAAAATGTATTATTTCATTCAAATTCCTTATACTTTTTAATCATACAATTATCGTATACAAGTTTAACAATGATATCAAACAACAACAAAATCGAGAATAATTGTCAACGCATACACGGTTAGGACAAAAATAATTTACAAAAGTTATTATATGTGTGTAAATTGCAGTGAAAAGTGATTAATAATGTTAACATTTTTAGTTTTCAGATTGTTATATATGGCGAGAGGATTATCTAACTGCATCAGTTGTTGTAATGTCACTTGTCAGCCGTAAAATGAATATAAAATATAAAAACCCACTGTACTATGTAATTTATTAATATATCATATATATTATTAAAAATATAAATTGTTTCCACAACATTACGTCGTTGTTGTTTTAATATTATAGTAAGTTACAATACCTTTTTTTAGAGTATATTAGTCTGAAATATAAGAAAATATATATTTGGGCTCTCGATCAATATAATATTACGACATATAACATAAAAAAATAGATTTTCTAAAATAAAAATCTTGGTTTTAATATGAAAGTGATAGGGTCATAACTGCGTAATCAATATTTATTTTGGTTGTTATGATTCATTACGTTGTGTATTGAATGTTTCAATATCCGTCACACTGTGAATAACAAAAAATTAAATACGCCTAATATTTATAGATTCTTTATTATTTTATAGAACGTGCATTGAAAGTTTTCAACTTGTATGACCCTCTTAGTTATTTTATTATGATCAGTTGACAGTATAAAATTGAAAATTTGTAGTCCCAAAATATTTGTTGTCATTGGCCGCTGAAAATTTAAATCTGGTTAAGTATTCGAATATAATATGTATTATTATTATCTACTGTAAAATATTCTGAAAATAAAAGGTAGAACATTTAGAAATTTGAAACTTTTTTTGCATTGTTCGTTACCGTAGTACGATACACATTGCATTTTTATTTATATATTGGACTTTTATACCATTAGACGATATCTCTTGTAATGGCGTGTTGTCGATCGTCGACGTGGCTATGAAGAAATCAATCGGTTACAAGTCGTGGCCGCACTACCACAGTGATATGTGTACGATGTTTTCATTGTTTATTACTTTATTAGACAATGTAATACCTATATAGGTCAAACGAAAATTCCCTCTCAAGTTTTCTACTACAGTAATTAAAAAAACCACGTCAATCAGCTTTATTTTATATAATACTAGGTAAATTATGTTTATTTTATGCGTTCTGTTAATATATTGCCAATATAATTATGTTTAAACAACGCATTCTGCAAAGTCACATATTTATTTTATTTGTATATCAATGCAATGTTTGACGGTTCAAATATCTATTCAAAAATATTCCTACATCATAAAAAGTGTGTATACAAATATGATAAAATATTAATAGTATATTAAAAATTCATTTTTACTTTATATGAATTCAAATGAACATTATTACTTTTATAAGTCTAATGTCAACGATAGGTAACATTGTGCACCTGTTTAATCGTATTCATCTAAACAAATATAGTATATTAAAATCGATGGTGATAAACAGTTAAATGTCTGTTTGTACGATTTTCATAATAACTGTTATGTTTTTAGTTTCATTTTAATTTAATTGTAATGACTTGATTATGCATTGTAAATTCTGACATGGGATAAAATATACAGTTTTAATAGAATTTTACAAGCGGTGAAGGGAATACATAGATGGTATATCATAACATAATCTATAACTAACAATTTTTAAGTTATAGGTAAAATAAAACACCAAATTAAATACTATAAAAAATAACATCCATTTATAGCAAAACCTGAGCTTTAACAGGAAAGACGAAACCATTTTAAACTACCTCCGAATAGGGCATACATTTATACATAAATGTATATACATACAAATACAACCACCTTATGGCCAGAAACGATCCTTCTACATATGAACCATGTGGAGCAGAAAAAAGATTCAAACACATAATAACGGAATGTCTCAATTTCGAAGATTTAAGAACTGACTATCACATACCTCATTTCCTAGGAGAAGCTCTAAAACCCGACTTCCAATATAATACCTACATCATCATTATATAACCAAATATTATGAACGTACATTTATCCTAACTTTAATTTAAATGTAAATACGATTTCAACTAATAACTAATAGTCTAGTAGTTGACATAATTATGTTCAATAAAAAAAAATGTCAAATAAAAAATTGAAAATAATTAAGGGTATAAATCAAACTAATAATGTATTTATTATTTTAGAGAAATAAGCTATTACCTGCACATGAATCATCATTTTAAAAATATTGAAAGAGAACAATAGTTATTAAACAAATATAACTCAAAAGATCTTGAAACTATTGTAAGACCAAATGCGTAATACAAAAAATATGTAACAAAATAATTTATATTATGAAGGTAAATGGAATTTTTGTTTAATTTATTAATTAATCATTAATTAGGAAGAAAACATTTATTACTTGTAAATATTGTGGAAATTTTAATTTGTAGACGTCATTAATAGTATATTTATACAGTATATAGTAGGTAAAAAATGTATCAATAAGTAAGACAAAAACCAAAAAACTAGACATTAAAAATATAACTTAAAGAAAATTTGAATGTATTAAGCTCAAAAGAATCGACCCGTCGATAGTTTATTATATTTTTTTGCTATATACGTAATAACAGAATTATTATGTAGCTTATAATATCGTTAATAATGGTAATGTAATATTGTTTTAATATAATTTATAATTTAAAATATAACAATAATATTATTTAAATTCATAGTTAGTTGAAGTGATAAAAATAACTGAAATCTAATTAAATGCAAAGCAAGAAACTCTCTTTAAACGTATTAAGTTTGCTAAAATAATAAAATAAATAAATACACATAACATTGAGAGCAATTGAATTGTTGTTGAAAATAGTGATAAATACAAGTAAATAAATTTCATGATATTTAAATATAGTATAACATTCACACTAGGTATGGATAAGATATAAGAAGAATATTATTTTTTGAATATTTTTATGTAAATTACCTAGTAAAATGTATCGTATATTGTTTTTTATTAAAATTGTATAACCAATAGATACCAATATTAATTACATGGGCAAGTAATTGAAAATATTTTTTAATATAATTTTAAAACTTGAAAGTGTTTATTCAATTTAAAAATTTAAAATTAAAATGTTGACTATTGAAAAAGAGTGAAGTTATTTTGGAGTGAGTCGTATGAAATAGACAATGATGATACACTATCTACTAGTTTGTTATACGAAAAAATACAAAATAAATAATCATACAAAATATTATCATTTTTCATCCATATTCACACAATCATGATATGTTTTAAGACTATAACACGATGTTTAGTTATTGTGTATTAAAATAAAATAAATAAATTTTTTTTGCATTTTTGTATTTTTGTATTTTTTTTTTTTTTTTAGTTGATTAGAATTGATATAAAACATGAGTCTAAATATATTAAAAAAAAAAAAAACCCGTAAGGTTGTATTGCAATTTATTTGTATCTTAATATGATTTATATACGTATTATGGTAAATTCTGATGAGTCATCAGTGATGACGAGTAAAAATAATAAACTATTAACATTTAATGCTCGTAAATACGTTAAAACTCATAACAAAACAAGAACTGATTGCTTATCGAAGTCATTTAATTTTTTACATAATTTTTCATTATGAGAATTTAGTACCTACCTATTCTATACTTTTTTCGGTCAAAAGCTTGGACTTTTCTTCGTATAAATGAGAAAATGTAGTACACTCGGGATTAAGTTCAAATACTGTACTGTCCAAGTGCACACATAAGCAAACTTCGAACCGATTACTTAAAATAAAAAACTTTCGTTACAATTCTCCGAGTTGTTTTTCGTTTACTTTTACAGAAACGAACACATATCTATATTATGTATCTAGAACTACAAGAAGTGTTGCAAGAAGGAATAAAATTCATTTTATTAAAAGTAAAAGTTATTTACAAAGTTTTCGTTCAGAATTTTCTTTATAAGGCTTATTTTAAATGAAAATATATTATTTTTATTGTTTAAAATAAGCGATTATAATAAATGATTATTATAACAAAATATTTTGTAGGTTATCGAATAATATTATTGCACAAACGTTAGTATTTTTTGAGGGAATGGGTGTTTTCCTTTTAACTGATTATCTTGTGTACATGTAATTATTGATCAATACAACAAACACTATATTGTTAATAACTTACTATTTTTTCTCTCTCTGATCCACGTGCAACATACCAAATTTTTGTTAGGCACAGAATAAAACCTAAACTAATTTTCTGTTTTTAACTTTAATATTAAGCGAATTAAACTAAAAGTTAAGAAATTATTTGCATTTATACGTCGATTTCGTTGTTATATTATATTACTCGTATTTCGATGTAAGATAATTTTTGAATTGCAATATTTTACATGAAAAAATTTAAATAAAACTTAAGATACATTAAAACTAAAAATTTCAACTTATAAGCACATAGTTTTTTAAAATTTGAGTTTGATAATATATTGATTAACTATAAAAATACAGCTTTTAACACAATATTGGTTCTGTTAAACGCGAATTGTTATGTTGCACGTATGTCAGAGAGACGATACAGAAGTAAGCTGATGTTCTCTTAAGTGCATTTTGATACTTACTGAATTATTTCCATGTGACGAAGGCAGATTGAAAATGATCACGTTAAAACTCAATACGAAAAAGAAGCTTAAAACTAAAGTCATATTTTAAAATATTTTTTATTTATTTGTATTTTTGTTTCTTTTTCAACGTAAGAGTATTGTATAGTTTATCATAATGTACCGTAATAAAGGTTCATGACGATTAACCGACTATGAAAACATCTGCCTTGACGAAATTTATGAATTATATAAAAAACGATGCTTTGACATCTGTCTACTGGCTTAGTAAATGTTATGAGTATATGTTTAAATTGCGTATTGAACAACACGCGAGTCGTGTATTAATAACATTGTATATTATAAAAAATATTCAATTAAATTTTACAAAATGGAGGAAAAAAATAATATATAATATTGATTTGAATTAGATAATAAATTTAGCAATTTTTAATTGAGCTAGTTTTAAAATTAAATTATACATAACATTTAGATAATATATAATGATGTTAAATTTTGGAAATTAATTTTTTTTTTTACAATTACAATCTAACTTCTATTTGTGTTAAAAAAATAAAAAAATAAATGTTATTAATTTGAATTTATTTTAAATAATCTATTAAATTTAATACATTAAAACAAAATATATGTATATAATAACAATAACTTTTTATTCATTAGTACATACAATATATAAATAATTTTTTACAATAAGCATGTTTGAGGATAATAATGTATTGGCATGGTTGACATGAAGAAATAATCGTTCAGTGGCAACACTTACTGGATAGAAAGAGTTATCTTGTTTGAGGTCGTGGTAATAACAATAATTAAAAATTGTTGCGATGAAATTTATTTTGGAATCATAAAAATGTCCTAATGGAAATTTTCTGTTAATATCGCTATAATAACATAACCTATATGTATTAAAACACATATTTTAATTGAACTGGTGAAGCGAGTAAAAATTAATTTCTGTAATATTTTTAGCTGGAACATAATCGATATAATATACCTACATAAAATTAAATATTCAGAATAATTAGTATGAAATAAAATTATTAGATTTTAAAAGGAAATATTTTATAACGTTATTTGCATAAAAGGGGTTAAATTCTAAATTTGACTAGTCAAACTAATAATATTTTGATATTAATCAGATTGATATTTTTTTTAATGATGGTTGGTACGAATAGTATGTAAGTATAAAATATAGTTTACGGAACTTACCTTTCTGTATTCATTATTATTTTTAAAATTTTAGTAGGATGATACTAATTTCATATTGATATATTTAAAAAGAATTTGAAATTTTTGAATTTTTTTATTTTTAAGTGTTTATTTATTATTATTGTACGTATTTTATCCATAATTTTTCACATTTATAATAGTCAATGAAAATATTACTACTTTTTTAAATTTTTAATACCAATCTAATGTATAATCTAAAGTAAAATATAATTTTCTTAAAAATTGTATGTATAAAAATCAAACATTTAACGATGTTTTCATTTTATTAATAAATTATTACAAATGTATGATGGTAACAGATAAAAAGCGACGAGAAGTGTATCACATAAACTTAGAGGTGTTTTATTTTTTATAAGCTTAACACTGCTATATATATAGAAAACTTATTTTAATTTTTATAATTGTACATTGCTTAAAAATGTAATCTGTTTTAAGTAATGAAATTAATAGGAAATATGTTTCAATTTCAAAATAAAAATTTGATAACTGTGGACTAATGAACATCGTCTCGGTTTCCGTTTTCTTGTTTGTAAGATAATTTGTTTCGCAAGACAAATTTAATACATTGATTTGATAATAGAGCGTTCTTTTGACGTATGTGAATGTTTTAGAGAGAGATAAAATATATAATATAATATTTTAATTATTTATTTGTTTACGTTGTTTGAAAAGTCCAAGACATAAAAACGCAAAAATACATTATTATCTCATTATCATATATATAAGTACTCAAATAATAAAAAAATAAATATTTTATTTTATCTCGCATTGTATGTATTATTGTAAAAAGTAAAACCAAATCATGTTTTAAAAGTTTTCCTTAACAGTAAATTATGATTTGTATTTTTCGAAACTACTATCTGATGTTAACAAAAAGAACAAGCATAACACGAGTAAAATGACCTTCCATTGTTCGTTATTTGGTTATTAATTAATTAGTAATATCGGTTTCAATATATTTGTTTATAGCAATTTATATTGCACCTTATATATTATATTGAACTTGAGATTACGAAATTTCAATATTTACTTGTATAATACATTTTTGAAATATTAAAAAAATTAACAAACAATGTTTGAGTTTAATTTTAAAAAACAATTGTTATTATTTATTAGTTAATATTTGTTTTTTCATTGCAAAACAAAATCAAAAGTGATAATAGGTCAATAAGAGATATTGTTTTAATAATTTTAATACATTGCCAAAGGTTAAGGCGTTTACCTATACATCGTTGTGTTAGTAATCTTAATAGAATTATCGAAAAAATATACTTCAAATTTTAAAATATTGTCTACTTCTTGTGCATTAATTTATTTTTTATCATATTTGTTATTCATAGCTATTATTACATTGTCTGTGAGATTTTTTTAAAAATTCATAGGTATGTTATTATAATTTTCTTTGTTATTCTTCATATTAGTATTTCTCTTTAATACGCCGTATTACATTTGAATAGCTCATCAGCAAATGATTTATGTAATGTTTAACAGCCGAAAGCATTATTGTAAACAAATATTTATTGAATATCAGAATATTATAGTTTTCAAATAATTCCAAAGTGCCTTTGTTTATTACTAAAAACGAGTTTTGGCTAATTTTAATTTTATTTGATAGGTACTAATAATTATTAATATTATTCATACATATAATTACATTATACTTTTATTATACCTATTGAATTCAAAGGATTGATTGTTTATTTAAATGTTAAGTACGGAAATAATGCATTGTATGTATTTTTATAAATCGTATTTCTTTTTTTTAAATTTATTAATTTATTTATTAATTTTTTAAATACTTATAAACTAATAAAACTATTATTTTTTTTAATAAATTGTATAATTATGTTTTAAGCTAAAGAAGATCTATAACAAAAAATAATTTGGTTTTTAGTGAATGAAAGTTTGAAAAGTTCGAATTTTAAGGGTAATTAATTAATTAAATAAAATAGGGATCAATTATTTCTATTCAAAATCAATATTTCTTTATATTTATGTGGAAAGTACTAAGTTATAGTCCTGGTGATTTATTAGAAAGTTGTTTGGTCATATTTCAGCTAACACCAGATAAGCATAGTATCAGCCTATCGAGTTTTACGATTTTTAATGTTTGATTAGTTACAGGTACTGTACAATTTAAAAATTAAATTAAATTTTATTTTCTATTAATATTTGTGTTAATTTATCATTGCCATAATCAATAATTTAATCATATTAATATATTTTATAATTCATATAAAAATAAAATTTCAACTAAACAAATATAACTAGCCCATCGAGATATTCTCGGTAACTCGTTGACTCAGTCCAAGTGGAGCAGCAAGCTATTACTTACGAGTGTGAGATTACAGTACAAAAAGTACAAATCTACATGGAAAATCTTTAAAAGTTGTAAATAATAATAATAATAACAACAAAAACAATAATAATAATAATAATAATAATAATAATAATAATAATTATTATTATTATAATAATTAATAGATATTATTCCATAGCTAAATACTAATACTATGTAATATAAATAAACCTAATTTAAAATAACAAATAATTTAAAACTATTATATCAAACACATTCAACTATAGTACATTTTTATTTAAAAGTTCTGATTTAAACTGAAATAAATTATTATATTAAATAATTATGTTAAATTGTATCACACATTTATGTATATATAATTAATTTGTACTTAATGTATTTTGTAAAAAATACTTTAGGTATTATAAAATTCCATTCAATCAGAATGAACGGAACTTAGAGATAAAAATCAAAAAACTTTTTAGCGGTCGATAATAATATAAAATACAAGAAGGGATTATCAGTTCAGTCGTCATAAGGACAAAAGCTCAGTAGACCACCGATTATACTGGTACAATTGGTACATATGGGTACCATAGTATCATTCGTTTATCAATCCCTTTTCAATTCATCAAAAATTTTATTTTTTACTATAACGTCTAATGCATTCTCCTTTGCCAGCAAGATCGTAATACAAAGCACATGGTATATATATTATACATATTAGTATAATGTACATTAGAAATAAAATGGAAAAATATTTTTGAAAAAAGGTTCAGATATAATTTATAATAATTTTGTTTGAAATTGATGATAATTTGCCCAATTTTTTAAATTAAATATAAATACAAATCACAATATTTTAAAACTAATAATGATAGTATTCAACATGTATGTAGTTTATGGATTAATTATATTGCGCGAAAAATGATTAAATTACTAATTTAATTGTATGTGACATAACGCGTTGACGGATAAGCCAATGGACATAGGATTTTATCAATTATGCCAGACCTTTTTTTATTAGGACAACAGCCAAAAGGTCCATCGATTTCGCCAATTTGAAGTTATAAGTTTAAGTGACTGGATGTTAAAGGTTAAGCTACTGTTTTTATACAAAGAAAAAAAATTAAATAAAAGAGCAGCTAATCAAATCAAATAGGTACGGGTAAAATATAGAACTCTTGAACAAAATTACAAAATTACAAATCATAAATAATATTATTAAGTAAGTTGATCATGCAATTGAATTTTTATTCTATTGTTTACACAATTGATACTTGATTTATTATTTTTTTTAAAGTTATTATATATATATATATATATCAATTAATATATTAAAATCTATTAAATGTATTTATTTAATTAAATTATTATTTTCAAAAATATAAATCTATACTTTTGATTTTTGTATCACATATTTATATAATTAATTGTTTGCAGTGTGCTTAAATATAAATAAAAAAATAATTATATTTCTATTTATTTTTATCTAAAAATAAAATGTTTGTGTTGTATAACTGAATTAAATATAGATTAATTGTTTTGATAAATAGATACAGTTAAAAACTAATCAAGATAGCCTAGCGTAAAAATTGGTATGTGATGAAATCTATAGGTTTTATTATTATTTTTTTTTTTGA